ATCACACAAATCCACTTATTCACAGACTATGATCGCTGCGATTAAATAGTAGTAGTAGTCACCAGCACTGGAGTAGTAGTAGTAGCCAAAGGAGAATTGAGCTTGGCCTCTTAAGCAGTTCCAACTACTCAAAAAATTGGAAATCTTCACCCCCACATAAAAGAATTATCCTAGTCATTATAACTAAGACTCGATCTCTTGGAATCTGGTGTGGAATTTTCAGTTCTAATCCTGGTCATCCTCGCAATCACTGAAAGTATAAATAGAAGCCCATTTCCAGTTCTGGGGCTCAATTTGGCAGGAAGATGTTCAAGAGCAACCAAGCCTTTCCCCATTTAGTGGGGGACGTACGGTTATATGAATTTCATATTTCCATTCCGCATCTGCTTTTTCATGTTCATATTGGCTATGACAAAGTTTTACACTGACTGTCAAGCTACCTGACGCAACCCTCCTCCTTTTTCCAGGCTTGGGACTGGTTGTGTAAAGAAAACAGGTAGAGTTAAAATTAATATATATATATATATATATATATATATATATATATATATAAAATCTAACATTATGTACAATACCATATTTGTGTAAAAGGAATCAAGTGCAGGTGAAATAGTTATGCTGCATACTAATTGTGTCTCTTTGGTTGTTGATCTCTCACAATTAATACATATGCTTTGTTTTGTAGATCTGTACAGCAAGATTCTTCGCCAGTACAGAGCAATCAAGAGCTCACACAAGACCTGCCCACAAGAAAGATTAGTTTGCTATCTTATACCTTTTGGACTCGGTTGGCGTGACAGGAACATGGTTTGCTTTTTATCAGTTTCCACTTAAATTTAAGAATGAATAATGAATTGTGTTTGCTCTTAGAAACGGTGCAATAAAAAGAATGATATATGAAGGGGGTACGTGCTTGATGATGGTATTGTCTTGGGCTGGCTATCAGTTGGTACAATATGTGAAGCCTTTTATATGGATCTCACTTTCCTCTGAAAATATGTTTTAACTAAATTATATAGTATGAACAAAAACTTGGGGAAGGGGATTTTCTTGAAGGGTGATCAAAATTGTTTTGGTGTCATGTCCTTTACATGCTATGGACTGATCTCTTGTTCTAGAAATTGTTCCAGAACGCCAAAACGATGCTGATATTTTAGAAAACTTAGGGCATTTAAAAGTACTACTACTACTTGATGTGCTTCTTAGTAGAGTTCTAATGATGCCACTGCACTGCACTCAGAATGCTACTGATTCCCTAAATCTGCACCATGATGAGTGCCTCTGTAGTGACTAGTGACCACCTTCCATACCGAGTCTTTTTTCGCCATCATATTATTCTTGCCGGAGTATGAGTCTTCCGTGTTGACCTATGCCAGCCTTGCAACCGGTCACCGGTGCGATCATGTCCATGTCCTCACCATTGAGATGGTGGCAGACAGACCAACATTTTTTTTGGGGGATCATATCAAAGTCGAATGCCAATGAGGGTTCTCTGTGTTTCAACAATCAGAATTATGGGCATAGAACCATTTCATATATTAAAATGTTAAAAGAGAAGACAATTTGGGATCTTTTATGTATTATGTATCTTTTGTTGATTGGTTTCATAAGATTTCTAATGGAGTTTTCTCCCTTCAAATCTTTCCATGATCATCTTCTTTTTTCACTTTAAATTTTCCAAGGCCTTTTTATCCCACACATTACATGGATGGCCATATTTTTGGTAGTTGACTTCTCATGGCCTCAAAGTGCCATAACCACTTCACTAAAGAATATTATAGCAAGTTATCCAAATGGTCCATTCATAGAAATGACGACCTATCCATCCAGTTCCATTCTTCATCCTTACCAAACAAACTTATTAGATACTCTCTTTTAAAGAAGAGGTCATGAAGTGTTACAGTATGCCTTTTGCGAAGAACAATACAACATAACAGGAATAATATTTCATTCCTCAAAATAATTACCCATATATACGGATGTGGGGTTAGAGAACACCCCTGAAGATTTTCTAAATCTCATAGGGCAATGGTACATCTAACCTCATGAATACAACACGAACATATTTGTGAGTCCATTGATGATTCTGTTGATACCTTCCTTACAGGAAATTGTTTTTTTCCCAGAAAACTAACTCCAAGAACGAGGCAATGTCATAACTAGCCTATTGCCTAATAAGATGAGAATTTTGGGAATTTTGGGAATTTTGGCAATGTCCAAACCTCTAATGTGTCATTAACTCCTCCTCTAGTCTCATCAACTAAAACAATATCATCGGCAAATAACATACAGCACAAAATCTCATCTTGGTTGTCAACTCATCCATAACCAAGGCAAAAAGGTGTGGACTTAAAACTGACCCTGGTATAAGCCTATAGTAATTGAGAATTCACTTGTTTCCCCTACAAGCATTCTAACTATAGTAACACGACCATCATACATGTCCTTTATTGTGTAAATGTATCCCTTTGTGACTCCTTTCTTTTCTAAAACCCTCCATATTAGGTCTCTAGGTACTCTATGCTTTCTCCAAATCAATAAAAACCATATGGAGATCTCTCTTCTTCTCTAGCTATCTTTCCATTAGTCTCCTTAATAAGTAAACCTGCCAACCCTAAAACCACTAATATATTCCAATGCTTTAGCTCTACTTGTCAATTTGCTAAACGCCTCTATCACAATGATAAACATAACCGAATGACTGTTTCACAGTGGAAATGCATAACCGAATCCTGTTGGGGACTCGTTCACCAAAATGACAATTTCACAGTGGAAATGCATAAACCGAATCCACCTCCTCCACATCAAAAACTTCAAATTCACAGTCATATACCTTCTCGATAACCAAAAATGACTATTTCACAATGGAAATGCATAACCGAATCCACCTCCTCTACATCAAAAAGTTTAAATTCACGTCATATATACCTTCTCGATATCCAATTTGCATACTAACCCCCATCAACCCACTACTGATCCCAAATCCACATAGTCACTAGCAATTAGCACCGAATCCAACATTTTGAGACTTCGATATCACACCATTAATAACTTTTCTTAACCACAAGGCAAGGACTTTAGCTATTAGCTTGTACATGCTACCCTCAGTAATTGGATTCTGCTCAAAACAAGTTATGACTTAGTTACTTTTGCAACCAAATAATGGGAAATTAGAAGGAAAAAATCATCTACATCGCTACTCTAGTGTCTTATATCCTTGAAGAACTCTAAAATCAAGATCCTACGACAAGATGAAAAGGGATTCCATGTGAATATAACACAAGCAAGTTTAACTCACTCCTTAGTTAACTCATAAAACCACATTCAGAAAGGTTCAATTCATCCCAACTACTTGACACATCTACAATGATGCCTATGATTCGAAGTTTGACTCTCCTTGAAAATGACAGCTGGTTCCTGCTTGGCTTTGAAGTACTTCTGGAGTTGAGATTTTTGTAACCTACTGTGGAATTTACTTATTATAATAAACGGTCAATCAGTACCCCTCAACATCCACTGACCTCATTCCTTTGTCTCTAGACTCTTCACTTTCTGAGTGACCTGACTCCTTTGCTTAACATATCTGTGACCTTCGTGTCGATATATGACAAAATATTGCAACAAAGTAATGAAAATTGTAAACTAGTTGTTGATGTTCATTGTAGGAATCAGGAATCCAGTGAAGGACACTGTCATGTTTTGTGTATGCCTTGATCGTTCATCTTTCTTGTGTGCCCTGATTGTTACTCAAAAAACTCATTCAAAACAAAAAACAAAACAAAAAAATGTCTGAGCCACTCATTCTAAATTTTGACCTAATGCATATTGACTTTATTTACCATCAATTATGAGTATTAATCCAGCTTCCAATGTGAAGGACTTGGTTCCTTATCAAGGCCGAGTCTCCTTTTCTATCAAGTGACAGGTAGGGACATTTCTTGAGCACCAGTTCATATTCTTCCACCCCATGCTCACAAAACATAGATCAGATCAAAAGTTTTCTTGATAATCATACCATCACATCTCAATAGGGCGGATACCAGCAACATCTTGTCCAACGGAAAGGACTTCAAAATATCGATGCCACATGGATCACTGAGGATGGTTGCTTGGAAATTGGATCAGTATCAACTCTCCAGAGTTGGTTTTCCTCAACTTAGGAGAATTGATGGAGATCATAAGAAAAGGTAGGCTGTGCACCAAAGTTATGCTAGATGGCTACCTACGGCAACACTTAGGCTAGGCGGGATAACTACACATAATTTGGGCGGCGACAACTACAAGGCAGCAACATTTATTTTGGTATTTTGTGTGTTCGCTTATTTACTAAGGATTTAACTTTTTGGGTGCCTATAAATAGGGCATGTATGTATCACTGAAGTTTCAAGTTTTTTTTTTCTTTTATTTATTTATTTATTGGTGAATACTGAAGTTTCAAGTGTGGACTTTTTGGGTAGGGCATGTTTGTATCACTGAGTTTCAAGGTTTTTTTTTTTTAGATGAATACTGAAGTTTCAAGTGTGATAGAGTGATATTGAGGTTCTCTCCTTCTCTTTGCCTAATTTATTCTTCTCCCTTTCTCCTCTTCCTCTTATTCTATTCTCTGATTTCTCTTCCTAATTAGTTCTACTTATTTAATCAATCATAGAGGAAAATATCAAACAAAGCACACTTGAGTGTGTGTGTTTGTGAATTGTGGTAATGGTGAGAGACGGTGATAGCCACAGATTACATGTTTTGAGTCTTCTACAGGAATGGAAAAATCTTGTCAATGTATGACTACAATGTTCTGTGTTGGATTGGGTTTGCAATCCATTTTCGACTTGCCAAACCCACCCAAGTTTGCCCACTTGCCAGCCCAATTAACGAATACTGAACCTGGTCACAAATGGACTAGGAAAGAAAAAGAGCAAATTCCCAAATTCCATTCACCAATGACATTTAACACCAAACATATATATATATATATATATATATATATATATATATATATATACTTGTTTGAATGTGAAACAAAAAGTTTACATGTCATTAACAAACTACAACAATAAATATTCCAAATGCATGCCAATGACATTGACCAAAAAAATAAATTCATAATCTATTTAAGGGACCAAATGCAACAACAAATACAGCAAGTCAAAATGCAAAAGTTAAACAAAATCAGCAAAATAGATTTAATCCATTTGTGAGATGGGGGAAGGGAGAGATAATCTGTTAGTGGGAACATATAAGGAAAAAAAAAAAAGAGAGAGAGAGAGAGAAGATAAGTGCGTGCTTTGAGGAGAAAAGAGAAGGAAAGGGGGAGAGAGAGGGCGAGGGAATAAAATCAGAAAAAGGGAGAAGTTGGGAGCATTAGGGTTTTCTTGATAAAAGGATTTGAGCTCTGTTTAGAACAGAAAAGGAAAAAAAGAAAAAGAAAAAAGAATAGGCTGTATAAAGAAAGGGGGTCTGTAGTGGGAAAAAGAAAGCTAAAGAGAAAATAGAAGAGAAGGAAAACAAGAGAGAGGGATAGAAGCTACGATTTGCAAAGTAAGTGAAAACTCCATCTGAACTAATCAATGTCAAATAAAAAATCAGCAAAATAGATTTAATCCATTTGTGAGATGGGGAAGGGGAGAGAGAATGTGTAAGAGGGAGCATATAAGAGAGAGAGAGAGAGAGAGAGAAAAATTAACATTTATTTGGGAGCAAGAATTCTTTCATTTCACATGATCTTGATGAGGTGTCCTCGAGGGAAATGGCTTCCTGCTAGCCTCAAAACGGTTGGTACGATTAGAAAGTAGAGTCTGAGAGCGAGAGAAAGCTCCGATAAGGAATTCAAGGATTTCTGACATCCTTATTACACATTTCAGACTTGATTTAACAAACTGGCATAAGACTACGCCTAAGCTGAACTTCCTGTTCAGTCAAGTAATGATTTAACATTTCAGACTTGAAAATAATAGTGCTTGATGAAACCATTGCATCTATTGACAATGCGACAGACTCTATTATCTAGAAAACTATATTAACTCCATCGATAGCATCTCTTCCAAAAGATGCTGGGCTTGATCCATCTTATTAGCCTTGTAGAAACCTTGAATAAGTGAATTAAAAGAAACTGAATTAGGCTTGAACACCCTCGATACCATATCATCCCTTACCTTCATTGCATTCCTAACATGTGAATCAAACAACTAACCTGTATAATTAAGGTCACACTTGCCACCTCCAGTTCAGCCCCTCTCGACCATGGGAAGACCCAATGCCCGAGACAGGTGAGAGGCATCTTGCTCAAGAGCTCAGGGGTGTAGGCTTATCTGCCTATGACATGCTTGAATGGAAAAAATATGCTTTTGGAAATCAAGCCACACATTTGAAATAATACATCTAAAACTTATGATGACAGGTATCAAAAGTATTCAATGCAATCTATAAAAATATAAAATATACATACCTATTTCAACAATCCGCAACCTCCACCAGATATTGGTCAACTGACCTGTAACAAAAAAACATATACAAGCTTTAGCCCATTTGCATTTTTTGACCAAAGAGTAATAATTAAATATATTGAACAATGAATATGATTTAGTGACCTTCGAATATATCTTACACATCATATATAGGCTTGCTATTTCTTCTTCTTTCTCCTAGAAGCCGAACCCCCCACCTTCAGCGCATGAGACAATTCCAATAACAAACATCTTTTTTTTTTTTACTAATCAAATGAAGGTAATTCAGAGATAATGAGCTTACAGTTGATCTCTGTGGAAGAAGAATCACTTTCACTTGCCTACACTCATGGTCGACATCTATTATCACAAGCAATGTCATGAAAATTAACTAACACATAAAACAAATAACTAACAAGATCAATGTAATGAATTTCTTACCATAAAGCACATCCCATCTATTTTTAAGTTCAGTGGGATATGAGCCATTTTCATGAGAAAATTTATTTGAAAAAGCCCTGTGGTGTTTCTAACAAGTGTAGATTTACGAATATTGTCGTCGCTTCTCTACACTTCGTGCAAAAATAAAGAAAAATCTGCATAGACTAAACTAAAAATGGTATAGAATAAGCAGGGTCGAACCACTCTCAAGTTAAATTTCGAATATAGATTCAAAACTGAAATTTTTTTTTGGGATGGAGAAAGAAATTTTAAAACAATTTGATGATTTTTTAATAATAAACTAAAAACTAAATAAATAAATAAGACTAAATAATTTCTGATCAAATAATTGGAAAAATATCTCAAAGGAAATAATCCAGTATATGATTTTTTTTTTCTAAGCAAATCGCTTCACCAGTCCAATTATAACTTAGAAAGATGAAGAAAAATATGACATTATATAACAGTTGCATATATGATAGAACACTTTTTATTTAATCTGTTTTAGCTTTGCTAGAAAAAATGCAAATAGAAGTAGGTATTCTTCGTATTACCATTACTTGACAGACACAAAAAATCCTTCCTCTATTTTCTTCACATAAAAATATCAAAATAGAAGAATAAAATTAATGTTTTTAAGAAAAAATTTCATAAAAGAAATAAACTAAATTTACTTATAATTCAGCCATGGTGGCTTCATCACTCCCATGAGAAGGGGTGTTTAAGCTAGTACTTAAAAGAAAATAAAACATAAAATTAAAAATGCACAAAAGAAATTGAAGACAAAAATTATCATTTTTATTATTTCATCTCACTAACAATGTACATCAAATCTCCTCTACATATGTCTACATATTTCCCTATTTATAGAATTTAGAATGCAACGATTAAGAGGGAAAAATTCTAATTACAGAAGTGAAAATAAAATAAAATCTTCCTAAAATCTTGCTGCTGTACAATTTGGCTTAATATCTTTGACTTGATGTGCTTTCCAATTTGGCTTGACCTTTGATAGAAAAAGCTAATTTTGAATTTGACTTTGATGGAAAAGCTAATTTTTGCTATTTTTGTCTCTTTTCTTCTTATTCCGAAATCAGCCCCTATAAAACGTGAAAAGCAGGGATAAGAACATTTATCTAATAAAAAATATATATATTAATTAATTATTTATTATTAAGTATAAAATAACAAGTTTATGCGCTTATCAGTTTTTTTAATACTAAAACAAAGAAAAAATATAAATAAAACAACAAATAAATATTTGAATCAGTCAAAATTTCTCGCACCAGGAGCAAAATTAACTTACCGAAAAAAATTCTTTACCGGGATAATTTCGACAGGAAAAAATTCATCAAATTCAATTAATACTTCCTCGTTGCCACCTAATGACAAATTGGAACAAAAAAAATGGAATTAAAAATAATTTCCTACATTTCTTGCCAAGCAAACATAAGAATCAGCAGTTAAACTCACCATTTTCATCTACACAAATACTTTTCTTCGGGATCATAGGCATAACTTCATGTGTGATGACCTCAATCATCGATTCACCATCCCGTTGATCATCACCCCTACTCACCCTCGACATCCTTATGTCCACCACGACGACCGCCACCACCGCTTTCATCATTGCCTCCATCACCACGTGGGCTGCCCACCTCCTCCAACTTACTAGTTTTACATCCGAGATTGCTGCTCAAGGGAATGACTGACACATGACGGATGTTAGATATCATGTGGGTTTTCATATTTGTCTTCAGCTAACACCTTAAAACGGCACTAGTATATTTTTCTTATTGCTGTATAATTATAATTTTACAAGGTCATTTGAGTGAACTTCAAGGGCGGATCCCGGATTTCTCAATGGGGTGGGCTAAATCAAAATATATCCAAGTCTAAGTATAAAGTTACAAACACACACATATATATATGTATGTATATATGTAAGATATACGTAGTATCATATTAGATTAGTAAAGTTATAAAATATAATATTAATTATTGTTTTTGTTTGTAACTTTAAGTGCAGCAGAGCTTTCCATTTCATTGTTGTACTAGATCCAATGTATGAAACAAGCCAAAAGCTCACAACCCTATCGTTGGTTCACAGTTGTCATACACTTTTGTGCCCCCAACCATATATCTCTCCCTCTACAAGTCCATATCTATAGAAGTCTCCCATGCCAATATTAGTCAAGACGCTCAAAGAGCTTATTTTGGCCTAAGTTGGGTAATTCTTATTGGTGGACTCTCTCTTCTTTGTTATTTCAGCTTCAACATTTCAGAAGCTCTGTCAAGGCAAAATGATAAAGTTAAATTAAAATTGTAGTCTTTTTTTTTTTTTTTTTTTTTTCTTTTTCACAGATAAAATTAGGGTTTAAAGAGATGAAAAAGAAGAGAGCCTAAGTAAATGAATTATATTACACACCATTGTTTCAGAATTTCAAGAACTGAAAAATCGCATGAAGTGACCAAAGATTCTTGTAACTAAAAGAATTAGACACTATGCTCAATAGTATGACTGCAACTCTAAATTTCCTTCAATTCTAAGTGTTGTGACTTAATTTGAGTGCATCAACATATTATCAACATCATCAGTTGTCATCACTAGAGCCAACGTTGACATCAACATCCTCATAACGTTGACATTAACATTCTCATCTAGAATCATCATCTAGAATCATGTAATCCTTTTGCATAAATATACATTTGATTAAGATAAATTGAAAAGAGACTTCCTATCATAATTGGTCATTTTAAAACCAACATCACTGCTACAGTAAGGGGATTTATATAATTCAATTAGCTAGGCAAAAAAACATACGTATTTTCTTTTTGCCAACTCCACCCATTCCCATCAACTCTCTTCTTTCAAAAAAGAGACCTACATTATTAGGACAAAAGAGGAAAAGTTTTCAAAAGCGTTAATAAACTTGTAAAACATATATTCTGAAATTGAAAACTGAACTTTCAAGTCTTTAATTCCCATTAATAAATTGTTCATCACATCACATCATAACAATATTACATATATATATGTATGTAGAAACAAAAAAAAAACAAAAAATCAATATGTAAAACATGAATATATAAACATAACCAATAGCTAAAAATGCCAATTAAAATTTTAGAAAAAGTAAGAGTTTGTTACCTGATGACTGAGGAGGCATGTTTTTTGAACCTTATTCTTGCTAAATGTTAAGGCCGATGCTAACCCTAAAAATAAGAAAACACTCAAGTTGTGAGAAAGAGGTTTCACAATCTTACTCATAACAATTAGAACACCACCATCTAAGTACTATCTGCATTATGTATCAACCCAAACCAACCCAACCCAAACCAACTATCAGTCAAAATGTTGGACACCTATCCGTAGAAAGAGGTGTAATTACGGAAAAATGTGATTAGCACATGTTATATTCAGCTCTTATGTTAAATTAATCCAATAATAAAATACAATGCATCAGTTTAGGAATAATCTTCAAAATTAACAAATCAATATCCAGAAAGATTTGAATATATCCTTCGTGCATTATACAGATTGTATTTCTATGTGAAACAAAATATCCAGGATTTCTCAATGGGCTAAATCAAAATATATCAACCAAAATCAACTGTTGTTTAATTCAATTTTAGTTAACTAACAATGTTTCTATAGACAATTGACTGATTAAGGCATAGAAAATCCTTTTTGGGTAATTAATAAGAAAAATTACCAATTTATTTATGAACAATTCACCACTCAGTACACTATCTCTTCTTTTGACCAATTTACTAATCCTATTTGAGAATCTACCAATGGAAGCAGCGTGTGAGGTAGTTCATGGCAAGCCCCTTCCAACACACTACGGAATTCACTCAAAAGCATGCTTTTTGTTAGTTTTTTAATTTTCAAGAAGTAACTTTAGAGCTTTACCCTATGTTAAGTACTTTTGCTTGTCAAAGTTCTTGTTATGATTTTTTTTTTTTAAGTTCTGAAAAGATTTTAATCTTCAAAAAGCTTGGCATGTTGATAAAATTTGTTTCAGACTCAATCTCTACAGATTTCTAATCCAATTCAGATTCTTTTTTTTCTTTTTTTTTTTTCCTTTTTCATTCCCAGATTCAAATTTTCTTGTAAGACAAAATTGACCAAAAAAAAAAAAAAAATAGAAGTTATTGAAATAAATAAATAAATAAAATATTGTTTTGCTGAAATAAAATGTAGATTACAATGATTACCTCAAAATTCAATGCAATGATTACCTCAAAATGCAATGCAAATTTTTTTACTTTCTATTGTAAAAAAAAATAAAATTATTTAAAAAAAATCATAAAAAATTTCACCAAGATTTAGTTTGCAAAACAAGAATTACAGACCTTGATTAGTTCATTTAGAAAAAAAATTTAAAACAAAACCCATACATACAAGTTAGCAGTTGCAGAGAGGGAGGGGGCAAGCTTGAGAGTTGAGAGGCAGCTGCTGAAGCTTGCGAACGGCGAACCCAAACTGGAACAGCGGGCGATGGAAACTGAAAGATATGGGTTTTGATTTTTTGAACAATCTGAAATGATACGCCGATATGGGTTTTGAAATAGGTAATAGGTTTTGAACTTTTGATTCTTACAGACAGATAGATAAAGTGAAATATATGGGTTTTGAACTTCTGATTCTTGTAGATTTTGTAGTTTGCAGTTGCAGAGAGAGAGAGAGTAGGGGCGCCAGGGGGTGGGGGTTGCAGTTCAGAGTTGAGAACGAGAATAGAGATGGAGGCGATTGGGGGAGGCTGAAATGATTTGCCCTAGTGAATCGGGGCAATCCGTGTGCTTTTAGAAAATAGTATACGGTTGGATCTATCTGGTTGTGTTTTCTTAATTGGTGTGGACGGTTAAGATTGACTTTAAAAGGATTATGAGTCGGATCCTCAGACTTAAATGTTTAATTTTTATTAGTTCAAAATGTTACCACTGTTTATATTTCCTTGGAATGCTTTTGCAAAGTTAAAAGCATGGTTAAATAGAATTTGTTATTTTCTTAAAATATCTTTTACTTAGCAATAAATTATAATAAATTGCCTCATTAAGAATAATATTAGAGTAGTTGGATTGTTCTGGTCAAAAATACTTTATCTTCTCCTCTCTAACCACTATCATCAATGGGCTTATAAATTTTGAGATGGAGGCCATTAGGGAGGCTAAAATAATTGTTTTTGCATTCTATCGGTGAGAAATTTATATAATTTATCATTGAAATAATTGTTTCATATTTTTGAAATGGGTTTTGAACTTTTGATTCTTGCAACCAAATAGATAAACTGAAATATATGGGTTTTGAACTTCTGATTCTTGTAGACATATAGATAAACTAAAATATTGAACTTCTTATTGTTGTAGATTTTGTAGTTTGCAGTTGGAGAGAGAGAGGGTTCAAAGTCGAGAACGAGAATGGAGATGGAAGTGATTGGGGGAGGCTGAAATGATTTGCCTTAAAAATAATTTGTTTTTTGGTGACCTATCATCCATGGGCCTATAAATTTTGAGGCCTTAGGCGACTATCTTTGTCGTCTTGGGCTATGGCTGGCCTTGAGCTTATTATTTTAACATGGTGACTAAGTTGACTCGGGCTTAATTAGATGGATTAATTCTATTAATAAATTTTTTTTTTTTTTTTAACTGGACTAAAATTAGTATAGTTAAAAAAAAAATTTGAAGGCTCAAGCCCACCAAAATCTACTCCTACATCCATCCCTGTCCACGACCATGACTCAAAAAATGTCATAAAACATTACATATTTCAGAATTAGTATGTTCATAAAGATGAGTAATGATATTCAACCCTTATAACCAATAATTACAGGTGACTGGACGGGTAATTTTTAGGACACTTGGACAAGTCAGCATTTTTAAGGAATTTGGTAGTAAAGGGTCTGGTGGGTTGCTGAAACATGATGGATGCAGCCGTGTCACACTTTTTGGTGTAGGTGAGAGTTTTGAACCGATGAAGGGCACTCGTACAACTTTATGGGCCGAGTAGCCATGTGATTGATTTTAGTTGTGAACGTTGGGTCCAATGGGGTGCGGACCCAATATTCTGTGTTGGACTTTAAAAGGCAAGAGGGCAGTCAAATATTGTATTAAATATGGACTTGGGTTTGGGACTGTTCAACTCTATACAGTACCATAAATAATTATTCCATTTTTTTTTTTTCACAATTATTCCATATATATATATATATATATATATATATAAGTCTACCATATAAATCAATTCAATTATGTTCACTGGATTGAATGCATCATTATATCGTTATTTCTTATTTCCTCTCATCCCATTCAATTGGTTCTATCTTATTGTTTTAATTGTAATACATGGGAATTATATATATTAATAGAGGAGAATTTGCAGTCATAGCCAGCTGATTTGAAGGTGTAGATACTCCACACTGAAGCCTATTATTTCTTTCATTCCAAATACTCCACAAACCCACTAGTGAATATACTTCTCAGCAATTTACTTTTCATTGTTTGCAGCTGGATTTGTGCAATGAACCAAATCACCATATCAGAAAAAAATGTTGGATTTGCAAGAGATCAGCACAGTTGCAGAATTTAGAGATCCACTTCCACACACCCTTTCCATAGGACCACCACCAAAAAAGATGATCCCTAGAATCCATATTATCGGGGCGGATGTAGAATTTCTAGTTGGGTAGGCTAATTTTGGCGTGGGCTAATATCATTTATAATTTTTTTTTTTTGCTGGACTAATACTAGATTATTGGGTGATATATAACAAAATTTTAGTCCTGGAGAGTGTGAAAAAAAAAAAAAAAATAAAATAAAATAAAAAATTTAGCTTTTAGGAAAGCAGTTCTTTTGCAATATTATGAAACACAAATTTGGAAAGTGCTATAGCATCTAATGTTGACTTCACTGCAAAATAATTGCCCTATAAAATTATAATTAATCTCAATTTAAACAAATCCATGATTTGGACTTTTAAATAAAATAAAATAAAAAATTTAGCTTTTAGGAAAGCAGTTCTTTTGCAATATTATGAAACACAAATTTGGAAAGTGCTAAAGCATCTAATGTTGACTTCACTGCAAAATAATTGCCCTATAAAATTATGATTAATCTCAATTTAAACAAATCCATGATTTGGACTTTTAAATATTGTAAAAGAGCCACTTGTATTTTAAGTAAAATATATAACCAGAGTTGATTAGCACATCCTGACAAAGCTCTCTGTATAATAATATTTATTTTTTGGTGCCCATGTTTTTTTTTTTTTATAATATTAAAATAGTTGTCGAGCATGATAGTATATTATAATGATATTAATTTAAATGTTAAGATAACATTTGCTATATAGTATTAGATCTGTATCAAGTGTAACTCTTCCTGTATCATCGACTTAAAAAAAGACATATATATTAATGTCCCCATAGATTTAAGGCTCACAAGTCATAACCATCCATTTGTAGGCTTACAGGGTGAAAGAATATATTCAAGTTAACGTTAGAAAAATAAATAACAATTATTCAGTCTTTTTCACTGAATTCTTCACTATGAAAAATATTTAACTGAAAAAAAAAAAAAAAAAAAAAAACATAAGTATCAGTGTCATTTTCCCTTCCTAAAAAAGAGAATGAAGTTTCAAGTTTTTATTTATTTATTTTTATTTTATTTTATTTAAAGTTAAGGTAAAGTGCCTACTCACATAATATTGTCTCTAAATTGGCTTAAATTCTCTTTCTTTCTTTTTTTTTTTTTTTTTTTTTTTTTTCAAAGAAAAAAAATCATACCATCTAAAATAATGCTGATTAGTAAGTTTGTGTTATTGACGTTATTTACGTATGACTATTTGTGAAAAAAATTACTTGGATAAACTCAATTTATACGCTCAACTTTGGTCTCCCCAACCTTGACGTTATTTACATATGACTCTTTGTGAAAAAAATTACTTGGATAAACTCAATTTATAAGCTCAACTTTGGTCTCCCAAACCCTTTGAAAAGAGTATACTTATCAAAAAAAAAAATAAAAATAAATAAAAATAAAAAAAAACCTTTGAAAAGAGTAACTTCAAATATGGCAGGCTACTTTCTTATGAGACCCGTACAAGACCATTTGAATATTAATTCTAGGAGGAGGTGGTTTTGCCACGAGGTCTTGAAGTTGTTGTAAGATATATTTTATACCTTAGTAGTAAAATATTGTGTACAAATTGGGACTTGAGTTGGATCTTAGGACATATTGTACACCTTAATAGTAAAATATTGTGTACAAATTGGCACTTGACTTGGATCTTAGGACAAAATCAATATCTTATCTATGCCATTCAAAAAAAAAAAAGTCAACCGTACCAAAGGGCTTGTATCGCGATGGTATTTTTTCACTTTTTAAAATAAAAGGTCTGAGAATTCAAGTTTACCTAGGAGAAAGTTTAAATTGCTAAACGAGATTCAGATTAAATTAGAGGTTGATTAAGTTAACTCTCTAAATGATTTAGATGAGGTGATTAGGTCAACTTGCTCACTTTTTGTGATTGATTAATTTACCCAAAAATATGATTAAATAATTAAACATCCACAATTACAAAAATAAATACAGAAAAGTAAAGATTAAGATATGACATTTGAATTTTTAGCAAGAAAACTAATTGACAAACCTCGAGGTTGTTTTCGCTATCTCAAGCGTAAAACAATCCACTATGTATGAAACAAAGTATACCGAATTTTGACTCAGGCTCACACCCCTTCACTCTGCCAAGACCCAACTTGCTGCATAGCCTTGGCTTTGCGACCTCCCGTCCAATAGCTCTCGACTTTAGACTTATGTCTTGAACCTTGTAAAAGGATTGTTGGTAGATCAACAACGCTCTGCAAATGCCTTGACCCCTTCAAAGTGTGATCTTCTTCAAATCTGAATTTTATGTAAAGATAGATAAGACTATACTTTTCGAATTTCTGAATCTTTAATTATGCTCAAATTTTGATTAAATAGAGAACAACACCTCTAAATCACTTTTGTATTTATGTGTGTACTCTAAAAATAAAATTAAAAAAAAAATCAAATTGATTTTATGAAAAATATCTCTCAAAAAGCTTTATCAAAACTAGTTGAAAAATTACTTTCCAAAAACCCTAACAATTTTTTAGTAAAAGAGATATTATATAAAATTTTGGAAGACCCAAAAATACTTGGAAATTAACAAGCTAGTCAATTTCGTGCATGATCATTATAGAAGAAGTCTATCCAACATAGGAAGTCAAATCAGACCATGAAAAGAGTTATCAAAAAGGTCTGCAAAAAGTTAAACCGGTTCAAGTTGGCCAGAAGTGAATCTTTGCGAAACTTTAAAACTTGAATCGGTTCAAGTTGGCTAGAAATTGATCTTTGAAAAACATATTGGAAAGTTGAATCAGTTCAGAGAAAGTTGAACCGGTTCAAGTTGTCCAGAAGTTGATCCTTGAAAAACACATTTGAAATTAAGTTGAACCAATTCAGAGAAAATTGAATCGGTTCAAGTTGGCTAGACTTGAACTTTGATATGATGCCTTAAAAGTTGAACCAGTTCAAAGAAGGTTGAACCGGTTTAAGTTAAGCAGAATGAAACACTTAGAAAATTTTCCTAAAAAGCCTAATTTTGAATCCATGCAAATATCCTCACACACTCACTTAACTTCATAATGCATTGTTCTCATCATCTTAGAGTGTATCGAATTATGAATACAATCACTTTTTCAATTCCGCTTCCGAACTTGAATCTTGACAAATCGAACAAAAAATCTACAATTCGGTCGGATTTA